GGAGAAGATAATGGTTAACCCTAGATTAACCCAGGTTAAGATTGTGAAAACATCCTCTTTGGAATAGGTTCCACAGATTTAATGGAAAGAATTTATTCAAGTGGAATTTACTTCTCACTGATCAAATACAGAGGGAATGTGTGTGGTTTGCTACAGTGTAAATGGCAGGGTTGGCCCTTGCCATGAAGGTTAGAACTGACAAAACCAAGCAATGTAGTTTTTCAAGTACTTTCCAGGTAAGTATCAATAGAGCAGTGAGAGACTTGCTACATCCTACTTGTGAGAGAGAGGTTGGAGGGTGGAAAATAATTTGACACCCATAAGGACTTGGAAACACTTTTGGACTCTAGCGAGGCTAAGGAGTTATTCATTCCAGTAGCTAAATTCAGAAAAATCCTCAAAAGAAGTAAGATACTGTTGGCAGTCTATGAAATAAAGTTTATTTTCTGTAGTTACCATTTTCGATTCCAGCAGGAATCACTTGATTTGGCAATAAGAAATAGGCAAAACTTTGTCGAAATTTAAATTTTAAATAATTTCTAATTTGCCTATAAATAATTAAATTAGAATAATATTACTGCTTGGCATCAACTTACATGATGGTAATGGCAGAATTTGGTGTTTTTACAGAGAAAAATTTGGTATTCATTAACCGAAAAATTAGTGTTACTATCAGGTTGAAATTTATAAAACCTTTTCCTTAAAACAGTTTTTCAAGTCCACCAAATGTTCTAGATCTTTCTTTATGGCAGGTTATTTTTTTTACAGCTATGTGCACCTTTTACAAGGCCTAGGAGCCACTCGAGGTAGAGGGTTACATTTTATGTGTATAGGAGTGGAGGATAATGGTTAACCCTAGCTTTGAACAGTTTAAAATAGTAGTGACTGGGGAAACATCCTGTTGGTACCACAGGGCAGTGGTTCACAGGAAGAAGCTGCTCAAGTGGAACTTACATCTGGCCAATGGAATACAAAGGGGAAAAAAGGCTGTTTTGCTACAATGTGTGTAGCATCGTGGGTCTTAGCCATGAAAGAACTAAGGAATGTAGTTCATCTGAACATTTTCCATTGAAATAACAATAGAGCAGCAAGAAGCTTGCAAGCTTTTGTCTGTAAGAAAGGAATTATTATCTTTCAGAATGATAATCTAAGAATAACATGGGCCAAACCTGTGAGCAATGAGGAGGTTTTAGAGAAAATAGAAACAAAAGGAACTCTCATATTTAACATCAGGAAGAGACATTTTGTTGGTTTGGTTTGTTTTATGGCATATCAGCTACAATGGGTTATTTAATGCTGTCAATTTTTATTGCTGGTAATATTTGTTTTCATTCAAAAACCTATTTCTGGTAATATTTTTTCTTCATAAATGTATCGCTGGTAACATTTTTGCAAAAAATGTATAGCTGGTAATATTTTTGTTTTAAAGATGTATTGCTGGTAATAATTTTTTTACAAAGTATTTCTGGTATTAAAACCTATTTTTACACTTTCATAGTGTTTTGACTCCAGAATAAGAGAGAATATGAGTGATTTGTTGCCATGTAAGTGGCATGGCATGTTCATGCTGTGAAGGTTTGACTTGACAGGACTAAGGGATGTAGTTCGTCGAGCACTTTCCATGGTAGTAGCAGTAGAGAAACACTTTTTTTACTTGAGGTGTGGAAAGTTAACACCTCGATTACATTATTAATTTACCTTTTAGTTGCATGTACTATATATTTTTATGTAATTGTCTAGAAAGTATCCAGTTACTGAATATAAGCAAAAAATAATTGCTGTAAGTTAGTAAAGGAAAGGAAGAAGGAAAGACTAAGCACCAATTGTAAGACAACAGAATATATATATATATATATATATATATATATATATATATATATATATATATAAAGAACTAAAAACATCAGAACAAGATGAAACAAATTGCCAAGTGTTTAAAGTCCTTAGTCCAAAGAAAAAAAACCCAAACGAGTAGAAAGATGAAAATGTAGAGTGCTCAACACGCTAAGTAGAGTGATAAACACGTGCACACACACACACATATATATATATATGTATATTAAAAAGAAAAGAGAAACCACAAATATTTTTGGTTGTAATGTGGATTTTTAAAAAAAATATTATGCTTTATTTTCTATAATTTTACTACACAGGTTTCCAGTCTTGCGACCTTCATCAGGAAAACCATGGAGATTTCTACATATTATTAAAAATAATTATTTTTTTCTGTTTTTTGAGAATATTTAACATCGAAAAACATAAGAACAAAATGAATTATTTTTAAAACAAAAAAAAATGAATTATTTTTAATTTTAGATTAATGTTTTAGTTTCATAGCAATTTGCAGTATTAGAGTGAAACTACCCATTGCACAGCCTATGTTCAATTTCCTTTTCTCCTGTACTAAATTTATTATAACTGATCCATGCTATAGTATTTGAATTGTTTAGCACTTACTATTTGCCCATCCTGAATTCTAATTCCAAACCATTTCTCTCTTGAAAATATTTGAGTCATATTTCTTGGTAGAGGATGTTGATTTTTTCTTTTGTTCAAGATGATTCTTATCCAAAATATGAATATGCTTAACTGTATCTTCTCATTCTCTCCCTTATCCCTGCTGATAATTACTGTCTGTCTATAATTAAGGTATTCTGTTGACACATGATAGCATGTGAGTCATATTTGATCTTACATTTGCAGCTGGCCTGGTCACATGAATCTGCACCTGGTGGTCCAGAGGACACCTCAAATCAATGCTGCTCTGTGTGCATATATTTAGACGTTAGACACCCATTTCTTCATTTTTCTGCTTAGAAATGCACAAGACAAAGTCTAAAGAAAAGAATTAAACTGATCTGAAATCTCATTTTCTCTTTGTCGTATTCTTGATGAGGTTTGAAATGACTCCATTCATATGTCTTCCCCAAACATATATGACTTTGTATATTGATGTAGGTCTTCTATCAGATCAAAGTGGATTCTGAGTTTGGAAGAAAGTTTCTTATTATTCTCAGATTACTTTAATTTATAAATCGGACATTTTGGTTTTTCCAGAAGTAGCCACGGTAAAGGTATCTCTTCAAATCTTTTGATACTTCCTTTTCTAGCAAAGGAGAGTGAGAAGAAGAGACTAAGCATAAACTTACAAGGAGACAGAATGCATGGTCATCAGCAAAAAAAGACAAGCCCAAAATGCAATTTACACAGGCTGGGGACATTAAAATCAAACCGGTACAAAAATTTAAATATCTGGAAAGTGTTAGGATAGAAAGTGCAACACTGAGATCCGAAGATGTATTGGGATGGCAAAAGACATATTCCAAAAGCTATGCAGAGTATTACATGACAGGAAAGTTTCATTGAAAACAAAGAAAAGAGTACTGAACTGCTATGTGATATCTGTCCTCCTGTATGGTAGCTAATGCTGGACAATGTACTCAAAGATGAAGAAAAGACTCAAAACAACAGAGGTATTGTTCTACAGTAGGATGCTTAGGATACCATGGACCGAACATGTGAGCAATGACAAGGTTTTCAGGAGAATGGAAGCAAAGAGGAAACTTACACTTCACATCAGGAAGCTCAGATTTCTGGGGTATGTAATGAGAAAGGAGGGCTTGGAAAATCTGACACTCACAAGACAGAGGGAAAGAGGGACAGGTGAAAGCAGTACGTGACATTACTTAATGGATGTGGATAGCAGAACAGGGTCTTGGAGAAAAGACAAAATTTATTAAGAGCTACAAGGGACAGGTGGAGGTGGAGGTGCTATGATCGCCTACATCCTGAAGGGACACGGCATATAAAAGAAGAAATATCTTTTACATACCAAGGAAATTAAATAAATTCTACTGAAAAAGATGTGAAAATTCGCATAGCTAAAACCTGGGCCACTTTGAATAAAATGGATGTAATCTGGAAATCTGATCTACGAGACAACCTCAAGTGAAGATTCTTTCGAGCCACTGTAGAGAATATTTTAATGTATGGTACCACTGCTTGGACATTAACTAAAATCCTAGAATCTAAGCTTGATTGAACTTACATTTGGATGCTGAGAGCTAACATCTGGAGACAACATCTAACTAAATTGAAAATATAACTGATCCATACACTATGGTATTTGAATTGTTTAGATTTCTACAATCTTACATGAATGAAAACTTACCTGGCACAGGGCTCCATCCCTGTGCTGGTGGTATCATGGCTACAACTAGCTTGGACCGGCTCTGACCAGCCTGGACCAATTATGACAAGCCAAGCCCAGCTCTGACTAGCTTAGACTAGCTTGGACAAGCTATGACCAGCTAAGATCAGCTTGAACCAGCGGCTTGAGTGAAAAAAATTGGGTCTCCTTGTTAAGAACTGACCTTGACTCACAACATGACTCAGTGGGGAGGTGTTGTGGAGTATTTTTACAGTGGAGGCTTGTATTTCTAATAAGTCGTCCTAAATTAGGTCCAACGTACAAAACGTTAGGAACTTGGAAAATAAGAGTCAATGGTGCAGCAATCTAGTTGTGATGGTTGGTACTTCAAATGTCCGAATCTCGACTGACGCGCTCAACACCATTCTGCCAGACTTGCCACTGCTACTCCTACTTATTATCTACGGGAGAGTCCATTACAATAGAATAGGTACTATGGCATAACAGGAGGTCAAGTAAATCTCCTTACATGAGTGCAGTATACATTTTGCAGGACGCTGCAGGCAAGCAAATCAAGAACTTGCAAGTGATTTACTGCTCTGAACACTTAACCATGGTACAAGATGAGTTAGTCAGCCATCAGCCACCAACATTGACCAGCTATGTTATGACACAGAATGCCACCCTAATGACCTTCCAACCTTGATGCAGGATCATGATGGTTTGTATGATAGACACATGAATATCCAAGTTAACTTGACCAAATAATAATTTAGCAACAGAGATAATTGGAACATGACATATTCTTATGTGATCAGTTCTACTGCACTTTCCACAAATTAATCAGGCTTACAGCCATATCATGTTGAAACACTGTTTTCTATAAATCACTGAAGTTAAGCAACATTCAGCCTGGTTAGTACCTAGATGGGTGACCACTTGGGAATACCGGTGTTGTAAGCTTGTATTTGTGATTGGTGTGAGGGATAATAGCTCAGAATTATTAATTGGAAAGTTGAGTTCCAGTTACAATTGGGTTTGTTATATTAACTTACACTCAATGGGAAAGGTATGAATCCACCTCTTCTCCCTCCAGCTATAGGTTAATTAGTAAAACTTATATCACTAAACCATTATTAACTCCAAAAAAAAAAATAAAATAAAATTGCATACAATATATTCATATTTCAGCATTAAATAACCCATAGAAGTGTTGATATGTTACTAAATAAAATCAACCAAACAAACCAATCAAAATATTTAGATTTTGGTATTAAATAACCCATAGAGGTGTTTATATGTCACTAAACAAAATCAAACAAACAACAATATCTAGTTATAATATATATTTAGTTGAAGTCATGAAATTGTTTTCAAAATATTTAGATTTCAGCATTAAATAACCCATAAAGGTTGATATGCCGCTAAACAAAATCAACCAATCAAAATATTTAAATTTCGGCATTAAATAACCCATAGAAGTGTTGATATGTCACTAAACAAAATCAACCAACCAACAAATTAATCACAAATAGTAAATATTGTCAAATGTGTATTTGGTTTGACTAATGGTTACCAGGCATATGACCCTGGAGGTAGGCAACCACTTGAATAAAACAGTTGACTAAATGGAATAAGCTATATTGACTAAAATAGTGATGCAATCTCTTCACAGTATTTTGGCAAGTGCATCTCAGGTCTTTTTGAAGAATCGAATACCTATAATTGAACTATTGTTACTACTTTATCGACCATTAATTGCAATTAGGTTGAATATAATTGCTTATTGAAGGCTGACTTAGCACAATAATAGGTGAAGTTGTTTTATTTAAATTATTAGTTCTTATTCTCAGGTTTTCTTTGAATTCATTCTTTGAAACCATAATTATCAGCATTGTATGAGCATCTATCAATTCAATCTTAGTCAACTGTTTTATTCAAGTTGTTTTTTTCCCCTCAGGCGGTGGCATAACATAGCATCACTAGAGGAAGACAGTTCACTCCAAGCTATATTGAAATAAAAATGGTTTTAATGGAGACACTACTCATGGTTGAGGGACCTTTTAGATTTTGATTAACTTAAACTATATCGTATGTATTGTTATCTTAACTGAATAATAAACATTATCCTATGATGTATTCAGGGCTTTTTTATAATTGTTGACAATGTAAAACCTGTGAACGGACCCAGAGGGCATTCTTTTAATGTCGTAGCACTGCTGTGTATGTGTTGTATCTTGTGTTTTCAAGATAACAGAGAGAAATAAATCTGGATGACAAAATCATAGGTAAGTAATGAAATAGAAGGTTTACTACACATAAGAACACTTAGCAACTGACCTAATGCTAACTCTCCTCAACTCTGCTTAACTCTGCTTATTTACATAAACGAAATATTCCATTCATTTATGTTCTATATGACAGTATGGGAGACACATCTTGGTTGTTAAAATATAAATCTCAGTTATTTTCCTTGAAAGAAGTCTGATGGCATATATTGCTCTATTTTTCATCTTTTTGGCCTGTTAATAGTTAATACATGCTTACATATATATATATATATATATATATATATATATATACACACTGGGCACTCCTGTATAAGGGTCAGGCAACTCAGTTCCTAGGAACCAACAGCCAGATACCTGCACATGATTTGACTATAGTGATGAAGGTTTTGTGCAGAACCAACTGCACTTTTTGAAGGGCTGAATACAAAGACCTGGTGCACCATGTGCCACAAGGTCCCCAAATGACCTTCCACAGGTTTTGAATTGTTCTTCTCCTAGACTAGTTCCCTTCAAGGCTACAGAACCCAGTCTGTTCTGCTATTTACCCATAGCTGGCAGTAAAGCTACTAAAATACAAGAGAGTGGAAGAATTAGTCATGGAAACAATAATGATGAGCAGAAAGAGAAGAGAGTAATCACATGAAGAGGAGGTAGTGATTGACATTGCATTTAAATTTTTAAAGATTAAAGTTAGCTGGAAAGCATGGAGTTGGAAGGGTGTACACAAGTGAGAAGTGCAGAGATGAAACTGTTAGCCCAGACCTTACAGCGACATCTTGCCAGCTCAATTGTAAATTGATGAGATCTTGATGCCAGTTTAGTACTGAAATGCAAAAACTCTAGGTACCATAGCAAAGAGCTCATCTGAAAATTAATCCCTTTTAATATATATATTAAGTGGGAGTCACTGTGTAATATGTTTTTTCTGAAGTGGAGGTTGGGGAACAAACTGAAAGGTTTCCCCAGGTGCCACACTCTCTGTCTCAACACCATTGCCCTGAGGACTGTGTGAATGGTTAATAGTATAAAACCATGTATTTTGTCAGCCATCTTCTGTACATTATTTTTAAAGTGGACTGAACAAACTTTTATGGTATCTTTACATTATACAAAAATTTCAATTGGATTTTTTGCATTGCAAAATAATAATAGTAATAATAATGAATAATAATAATAATAATGAACAATACTAATACTACAAATAATAATGAATAATAATAATAATAATGAACAATACTAATACTACAAATAATAATGAATAATAATAATACTAATAATAATGAATATTATACTACAAATAATAAATAATATAATAATAATGAATAATAATTATACTACAAATAATAATAAATAATAATACTAATAATAATGAATAATAATACTAAAAATAATAATGAATACTAATACTAATAATAACGAATAATAATTATACTACAAATAATAATAAATGATAATAATACTACTAATAATAATGAATAATACAAGAGAAAAATAAAGAGTAAAAATGTCAATTTCCTTAAACTTTACCCATAATGTAACAGAAGTGTTTGATTTATCCACAGTAGATTCGAATCATCATCTACAGAGATTTTGAAACTTGATATGTTCTCTTTTCTTCTTGGGGTTTTAAAATATTTGGTGCATCAATATATTTGGAAAATAACAATAAGCAAAACAAAGGACAAATAAACAAGTCCAGAAATACAATAATTTTAAGAACAATGATAACTTCCTGGGAACTGACATGGCACATTCTCAGTCTAAAGTTTTCCACTGACATAAAGTGGAATGATTATACCAAATCAATTGCTAGGTCTGCGACAAGGAAAGTAGGTTCACTATGTTGTGCCAGACAATTTTTCTCACCAGAATTTTTTGTTCTTAGAGAGAGAGGACCATTCTGCACTGTTGGTGGGGATATGTAACAATTTTTGACTATATAACATATTATCAATCAGCCATAGGAAAAAAATTTAACTTTAACATAAAACTTATAAAGAACTTTGCCAAATCACAAAAACCACATCCTTCAAAGACTTCCAAAAACAGCAACAACTAAAATGGATAGGACATGTGACTAGATAAGATATAGCATGAAGTTCTGTCATCCAGGTGTTTTTTTTGTTTTTTTGTATAAAATATCTGAGCAGCCAAAATTCCAAACAATAATAAAATTTAAAAAAAAAAAACCTGGATATGACTGTTAAATATATAATTTGTATTTACAAACATATGTACATGAATTCGAAAGGGTTAAAAAAAAAAAGGAGTAAAAATAGTCTTTAGGTGAGTTAAAATCTTTGTGTTTTGTTTGTATGCAAAAAAAAGTTGTAGTTTAGGGAAGACTTTGAAATAATCGGTTCATGAAAAGAAGCTGTTGTTGACAAATGACTTTTATCATTAGCAAAGATTCACTGACAGTTTTTGTGATTGTTGTTGTTGTTGGATATGATTCATTTGAAATCGCAACACATAATCATCAGCCAAAATTCACTGACCATCCAAGCTGTTGCTGTTGTAGCTACTGGACTTGAGAAGCCCGTTTTCCTGAAACTTAAGAGAAAGATTTTATAAATTTCAACTGACAGTAATGCTAACTGTCGATGCCAAATGTTTCCTGCATGCAAACAGTTAATGTCACCATTATCATTTTAATTGTGGATGCCAGTCACATGACTTTCAGCCCTGTTATAGATATTCCTGTGGTAAAAATACAGTAGAAATTAACATTAGAAAGAGCTATAAATGACTTGTGGAGCTTATTTTCCTGAAAAAACTGTTTAAAGTCAAGGATTATAACCAGCAGTAAATGAATGCTGAATGGTTTCTGCATAGAAATGGTTATTTTCACCATTGCCATATGAATATATTGTAAATGATTTAACTATAAAAAGTGCATTTTAAATGATTTTACAATAAAAAATGCATTGTAAATGATTTTAATATAAAAAATACATTATAAATAGTTTTTATTATAAAAAAATCCATTTTAAATGATTTTGATATAAAAATAAGCATTTTAAATGATTTTACAATGAAAATTCATTGTAAATGATTTTAATAAAAAAAAGCATTTTAAATGATTTTACAATGAAAATTCATTGTAAATGATTTTAATAAAAAAAAGCATTTTAAATGATTTTACAATGAAAATTCATTGTAAATGATTTTAATATAAAAAATACATTATAAATAGTTTTTACTATAAAAATGCATTTTAAATGATTTTAGTATAAACAGTGCATTTTAAATGATAGTACAATAAAAAATGCATTGTAAATGATTTAACTATAAAAAGTGCATTTTAAATGTTTTTACAATAAAAAATGCATTAAAATTATAAATAGGTTTTACTATAAAAAAAATGGATTTTAAATGATTTTAATATAAAAAACGCATTTTAAATGATTTTAATATAAAAAACGCATTTTAAATGATTTTACTATAAAAAATGCATTGTGAATCATTTTAATATAAAAAATACATTATAAATAGTTTTTACAATAAAAAAAAATGTATTGTAAATGATTTTACTATAAAATATACATTTCCAAGGATGTTAGTATGAACTAAATGAAATAGAAATCAACCAGGAATTGAACTCAGCACACTGATTTCACTTTCTGCAACAATAAGTGTCACACTTTCCATATATATCCTTTTAGAATAG